TGAAGTCAGGCCACTGAAATTCAATCCAAAAATCAGGTATCACCTCCGACTTCCCAGGGCCTACAGTAGCAGGGAGCTGCAGAACAGAGGATCAAACTTGGGTCTTGACAAACATCATAACTGCCAGGCCAAATACCCACTCTGGTGTAGGCATCAACGAACTAACTAGACTGTATCTTAATACTATAAAGCTGTGTTCTCTAAATATAATTTAGACATCCAAGAAAATGATAAAAAGAAATCTCTCCATGAGTCTTGGATCTGCCTTAGGCAAAGTCTGAAAGGTTGGTATGATGATATGGATGACAAGTGGGGGCACAATCTGGGAAGGGCGTGTAGGAATGTGTGGGAGGGAAGACTGCTGAGGGAGTGTGTTGTAGGTGAGGAATGACTTCTGAGGGACCTCCATGGAAAAGGCCACTACATCTGTAGGTGAGACCAAACAGCTTGGGGGAAAAAGCTGAAGGATTTGTATGAGTTAAATCGATGCATCAGCCCATGTGGGAGACCTGAGTTGGGCTAGTTAGCATGGGTTACCACTCACCAGTATTAAAACTAAGGCTGGGGGCCTACCTACCAGGGCTAGATGCCAAGCTGGATCAGAGCAACCACTGGCATGTGTGAGATGTGTGGCTGGGACAAACCTGCTTGGGGAGTTAAGGAGACACTCCAGCTGGATTGTGGCTTTTACTGATGAGGCTGAGAGTCCAAATGGGAGCAGCGATCTGGGCTGGACATGGCTGCAGTGTACATTCGCACAGGGGTGGTCGCAGGTGTGCCAGGTTGAGTTGAACTCTGGTTCTCACCGATGCTTATGAGAGCCAGGGTGGCTGTAGGATGGGCTAGGGTAGGTCTCCACACCTGCTGAACCGTACAAGAGCTGTGTTTGCTATGGACCAGGTCTGGCTGGGCTGTAGCAACCAACAGTGAGACCCAGAATGGGTGTGGGGCAGTTTGTCAAGGCCACTGTTCCTGCCAGGACAAGAGATGGACTAAGTCAGTCTGGGCCAAGGACCCACCAGTGTGCACAAAATCTGCCATTGGGATTAGACCTGATAGAGGTACTTGGGGAATCCCTTTGTCAGGATGTAGTCCCTGCAGGTGAGCATAAGAACCAAGGCTGGGAACAGCCCAGACCAGACCAGGCTGCAGTACCTGCTGGCACATGTGGGGGTCAGGCTGGACTGGACCAGTTCTTAATACCCATTGGCATATGGGTCAACCATGGTGGGGTGCAAGATAGGCCACGCTGGGCTGTAACGCCAGCCAGTTCACATCAGGGCTGAGATTGGTGTTGGTTAGGCTGGGCTTGGGGAGTTAAGGAGACACTCCAGCTGGATTGTGGCTTTTACTGATGAGGCTGAGAGTCCAAATGGGAGCACCCACCAGCATGAGCTGGACCTGGGGGCAGACCAGGTCAGACTAAGCTACTGCACCTGCTTGCAAATGACAAGGTATGGAGGTGCATGCTAAACTGGGTCGCAGCACCCACCAGCACATGTGAGACCAGGGGGTGGGGTGGGGTGCAAGCCCAGTGAGGGGCTGTGGGGGCTTCATCTGCTGGGCCACTGCCCCCACTTGTGAGCATAATGGGGCATGGGACAGAGCAGGCCAGAAGTCTGGTTGGGCTTTGCCGCAGCATCAGCTGGAAATTGCTGGGACTGAGGGCAAATCCTGTCAGGCTAGACTGCAGAGCCACCTGAAGAGTGCAAGATCCAGCAGTGGGAGAGGACCTACCAGGGAAACACGGGGCACCTTACCCTAAGGAGCCATAACCTCTGAGCGGCTGCAAGTCCCACTAGAAAGCATGAGTATCTAGATTTCTGCTCGCGGACACTGCCCGACTGAACCCAGCCTCTGAGCTGTTTGCTGTGAGCAGAAGTGGTGGGGCTGTGATTTATTTTTATTTTTCCTTCTCGAGACAATCCCTAATCACATTCATTCAGTCCAGAAAATGAGCTTCCTGTGCCACACTGAACTGAACTGGCTGTAGTTCCCACTGAGAAGTTAGAAAACAGCCAACAGCCAACTCCTCATTGCTGTGGACTGAAAATAGATAATTACAATATACATTTTTTAACACATCAGCCTTTATTATTATGAAAGGAGGAAAACCCTTGTAAGCAACCACAACATTCCTACCACTGGAAAGCTCTTAAGAGATTACTGACATAATTGTGCCTGCAAAAAAATTGTGGAGCTTAAATTAGTGACTCATGGCTGATTGCCTGAGAGTTGATAAGCTTTTCTCTTTCTAAAAAGTACTGATAATGTTGTGAAAAGTGTTGATAAAACAAGTGAAAGTTAGCACATGTTGCTACAGGACTCATAAAACTGTTTTATGGTGGTATTCGAATGTCCTGGTAAATTGTTCTGAAAAATCATCTGAATTGGATATGGTATAGTTATCATTCTTGGTGATCATATCTGCTCCTCAATTCTTTTGTTACATGATTTATGCACATTTACCCAGAGCATAATTATCTTGATTAATATGGAGAAATATGGTATTTATAATCCACTGTTTTACAAAGTGCTACATGATTAGCCCTTTAAAAATAATTAGCTTTCTCACATACAAAATTTCATAATTTTCATTTCAGATTATGAAGTGTCAGCTAGTATTCTTAAAATTTTAATCATCCATTTTTAATGGATTCGGTGCAATTATGCGTGAGAGGAATGTACTAGTTCTGACACATAAATCATAAGAAATTAAACCACATTGTAGTTTTCTGCATCAATCACATTTTTCTGCTTTATATATATATATATATAGATGTTAGTCACTATTTAATCACAGAAAATATTTAGAGAAATGAATTACTGAAACTGGAAATAAATGAAATACACTGTTGTGGAAACATGCTGGCTTTGCTGCTTTCACCCGAGAATGAAGATCAAGTCCGGGGTTAATAATCTAGGTAGGTGCTGCCTCTTCACTCGCAGAAGAAACAAAAACACGTTTTATGTCATTTATATTCTTTTAGTGTTTGATGAGATGATATTTTCAGTAGCGTTTTTCCTGGTAGAATTTGGACCAGATATGCTAGTTTCTTGAAAAGACAAAAGCAAATTCCTGAATGTTGTTAAGTGATATGAGGAGTCACTGAGAAGGGTTAGCTTTCAAAGTTACTTAGAGAAGACCCGGGGTTAAATACACTAAGTGTCTCATACAGAAACGACACACATGTTAAAATTAGCTGACAAGGACTTTCACGCGGCCATCAGAAAGATGTTTTAACAAACAATCCCAAACACGCTTGAAACAAAGTTAGCAAAGAAATCCGAGATAGAATTCTGAAGGGATTTCTGAATTTAGGAAAAAAAAAAAAAAGTAACAGCAGATTCAGTGAATTTGATGATGGAACACTAGAAATGACCCAATCCAAGCAGAGAATAAAGAATGAAAAAGTGGGCCTTAAGGGATGTGAAACCGAAGCCAAAGCATCTAATAGCAGATCAAAGGAATCCTAGAAGGAGAGTGGGGCTAAAGAGCATTGGAGGAAAAAAATGACAAAAACATACCAGTTTGGAAAAACACATACACCAATTGACAGAAGAAACGGAACAAATCCTAACCAGGATAAAGCCAAATATACTTACGTGACAATAGGATAGCTTAGTTCCTGTAAACTAAGGACAGAATCAGAAAAGCAGCTGGCGAGAAGTGATGTGGCAAAGGCACTGATTTTTGGCATTAGAGGAATAGGCTAGTTTCCACAAAATGGAAAACAGAAATACAAATATTGGCAAGAAATGAAAATATTTTAATTGTTGATTCTATTTAGTAGTCTTTTAAACGGAAGACAACTGAATGGTTATGCATGGAGCACTCCCTGGAGATCTACAAATTATAGGGATTATTTGTTATTCCTCAAAGCAGTTCAAGAAACTAGATTTGGAAAGAACCATACACACACACACACTCCGGCTACAGGAATTTAAACTTGAGATTCCTGAATGAGCTTCAGTTGTGAACTCCTTGAAATTAATCTAAAAATGTCAACATGCATAGTCATTTTTGTCTGGGGAAAACTGTAATTTTCAACAGATTCTCAAAGGAGCAGATAGCTTTAAAAAGGTAGGGAATCCCCACAATGGTTTCTTTTCTGTGTGTGTTTGCGTTTAAGTAAAATCCCAAACTCCAGCTTGGATGAGGAATGAGGCTAATTTTTATGGAATTCATCAAAAATGCTGCATGCCAACTCAGGACAACATTCTGCTTTTAAGGAGAGAACAGGAAATGGCTGTAGGCGCTTATGGAAAAACATGTTCTCTCAAGAACGTCTGCCCAGAGACTCATTCTGTATATTTTGAAATATGCTGCCCAGAGGTGACCAATGACTATCGTGCTATGACTTAAGAGGTTCTTTTTGGGCCAGCACTATGATGTAGCAAGCCACTGTCTGTGGCACCAACATTCCAAATGAAGTCCACTCGCGGTCCAGCTTGCTGCTGATGCGCTGGGAAAGCAGCAGGTGGCCCTGCATCCTCAGCCTGACCCAGCCCTGGCTGTTGTGGCCACCTGGGGAGTGAACCAGGACGTGGAAGATGAACCTCTCTCTGCCTCTCTCTTCTAAAGAAATCTTTAGTAATCACATGTACTACAGGTTTAACTTCTCCTGTTCAAAGGAGATATTCAGATCTGCAAGGGGAAACAAGAGCATTCTGGAATTCGTACCAACTCACCGGTGTATGAGACATATCATGTCCTGCTTCCCCCTTTTTGTTTAAAGCACAATGAGGCGTTATTAATTACAGAAGGTACTGTTGCCAGCTTATCCAAATAAGAATGTTAGTACAAAAGTCATGACAAAGCACATGCACTCACTTTCCCTGCCTCAGTTCCCGAAGCTGCCCACTTCTCATTTCTCACCGACTGTGTCACTTCCAGAGTGTGAGCATTTAAGGTAAAGTGTACTGACCTCTACTTATGTAAAAGCACACAGAGATTAAAAACAGTCCACAAGAAACAGAAATGAGCACTACACATTAACTTACAATGGGTTTATATTTAACATTGTATTTCTCATTATAAGGATGTTAACAATTTTTTTGCATTAAATCTTTTCCCTTTTGACGCTAACAAAATTTTTGACAGTAAATATTTTCTCCGTTTTGACATTAGACACACTGAATTCATTTTCTAAGCTTTTTTTCCCCCAGAGGTAAAATTTCTCATTTTTAGCTATGTGATATCTCAGTACAATATTAACATGGGAGATAAAACACAAATCTAACAAACATATGGAGAAAAAAACTCCTTGATTATCAGGAGGCAGTGATTATGACAGTGGCAACTTCATAGGGCTCTGGTTAAGAGCACCCTTTTTCCTGTGTCATGTGCTTTGCCAATTCTGAAACTATGAAATACCATTTATGCAATCCAAGCAGCGAACACAAATTAAAGGCTAGATATTTCAGTGCATTGCTTGCTGTAAAGAAAACTTTTGGCCCCCACTTTAACATAGTTTCCACTGAATAGGAAACAACTAGGGATGTGAAACGAACTTATTTACTATTTCCTGGAACTGTCAGACACCACAGCTCAGGCTATCAGCAACAGCACAGATTCTCAGGGCAAGGCTAGATGCCGGCGCCCTTGCGAGTCACATCTGCCCATTCCTCTTTCGGGAGTACACCCCCAAGCAAGCACAGATGCCCGTTACACTGAGAACCACTCCCAACAGGAGTGCGATCGCATCCCCAGCTTCCACTGCTTCCACACCAGGCAGCACCAAAAGCAGGCAAACGAGGACAGAGAACAACTGTGTGGACGCTGAGGTCATGATGCTGGGCTCCTGCAGTCTGAAGGGTTCTAGGAATTCAACATGGGAACAATTAAAAAAAAAGTCATGAGCAATTTACATCTTCTTAAAGGATGTTATCAACAAATGACAGTCAATCTTTTAAATCAGAAGCTTTAGCAATTATTTCACATCCTACTTCTCATCTTGCAGATCAGCACACACAGACACACAAAGGGAAGTGAAAAAGAATTGAGGCTCCTCTCAGGGCGATCTCCAAAACTCGGCAATTTTGCCACAGTAACGCTAACATCACGTGCACTCATCAAACAGAGCAACCCAAGAGTCGCTCATAATTAACAACAAGCAAGCAAGCACAAAATGCACAATCTATTTCCTTGGAACCTAAGACTACCTCAGTGATCAGTAAAAGTTAAATTTTCTTATGGTCTCTTCCGCCTAGAAAATGTGTTAAAAGTCACACAACATACAACTCCCATGTTATGGGAAACTAATAAGACTTACCAAAGAAATAGTATATATATATATAGTTTTTATTTCACTCGAAATCCTCCCTTCCTTGGGCAAGTTCCAGAGCTTCCACAGGACAGCGTCTACTGGGGAGAGGTGGGAAAGAAGGATTTAAAAATTACGATCACTTTAAATAGGAAGCTAGAGTCCGCTCAGAGCAGTGTCCGAAGAGAAGGGAGAGGCATGCATAACTAGCACATCAGAGAGTCTGTTCAAGGAGAAACTAAAGTTGGTTAGTTCTCTCACACAGGAAACACCACCAGAAAAAACCTGAACTGAGACAAGTTCATGCCAGCACCTGGTAAGGTTTCAAAAAGAATCCCTGCTTTAACCAGGCGAGGTGGAAATTCATTGCGCTTTACGAATCACAGGGGAGGCGTTGGGAGACGAGCTCGCATCTTACCTTCCAGAGAGCAGCCATTACAGGAAGGGTGAGGAACGCGGAATCGTCAAACTACATTTCCCACACTGCCCGCTGCCGGCGACTCCCAGGATGCACTGGCGCGCTGCCCAATCACTGGCTGAGGGAGTGTGAGTCGCGCTCCCGCGGAGTCCGGGAGGAACGTTCTCGCGGAGAGTTCCCGCGTGGCGGGAAAACGCGTGGTTTGGCGTGTTTTCCGGAGCCTCTTAAAATAAGACTAAGAAGTGGAAGCAAGCGTGTGCTACTCTGTTCAGGGTTTCAAAAGGCGCAATTATTTCTTATGATGAAATGAAGTCGTAGCCGCTGGAGCTGGGAATCCCAGGCACCGGGTTTCTTTCAAGTGGGTTTCGCGACACGCTATTAAAGAGGTTTTTGCTTGTTTGTTTGAAACCAGCATAGGGGGTGTTGGAAAACAAACCTAGGAAAACACGAACGCCATTTGTAGTATAAAATAGACTGAGCTTGGGAAAAATGGTTTAAGCCATAGAGTTGTAAGAGGAGTTGGGATTCAGGTTGTGGAATTCAGCGTTTTTGTGTTCAGGAGGAGATTTAAAGATTCCTTCCCACTTGTCCCCGGTTGTTCATGAAAAGAATACAGTTGCTACTTGTGAATCGTAAGACAGGAAAGTCTCCTGAAGTCTTGCTAAGTTCTGCTTGCTTCTTCCTGGTGCGCTTGGTTTTCTGAGTACTGGGTTATAAATGTGACACTTTGGACTCTTCCCGTGACAGGTGGTTCATGATACCTATAGAATCGCTTGTTGTGTCTGTCCCTAACTTAGTCTCCCGGGCTGCAGGGTTCCTTCCAGTGAGTCTCCCTGATTGACACCTATTCTGCTGATGGTGGTTCTTTTTCTAGTCTGCAGGAGGGATTTATGTTGCTGGCTCTTGGCACACCCAATAGGTGCTCAGTAACATTAGCTAAGAATAATTACAGTGGCTCACCTGTAAGCACCGGGATCCAACGTGGTCATTGGTTCATGTCGCAGCTGCTCCACTTTTGATCTAACTTCCTGCGTGTGGCCTGGGAAAGCGGTCGAGGACGGGCCAAAGCCTTGGGTCCCTGCACCCAAGAGGGAGACTGGGAACAATCTCCTGGCTTTGGCTTTGGATTGGCTTAGCTCAGGTTGTTGTGACTATTTGGGGAGTGAGCCAGTGGATGCAATATCTTTCTTTATGTTTCCCCTTCTCTCTGTAAATCTGCCTTTCCAGTAAAAATAAGAAGTCTTAAAAAAAACCAAAACTACAGTTAATTTGTGCATTCACAACCTCAGATTACTGGGCTTGTTGACTAGGGTAAGAATGCTTGAATGAAAGAAAGGTGTGAGTTTTCAAGTTGGGAAATTCTATCATATGGCACTTTATCTATGGTAATGGACTGATTGGGATCTTCAATAGCAATGGTTGGTCCTAAATTCACATCTTCCCCTTATTAACTATGTGAGCTTGTGCATATCATCTAATACTTAAGTTTTCTCACCTGTAATGAAATCACCAATCTTAATAGAATTCCTAGTAAAAATAAAATGAAGTGGCAAAGTATTAGAAGCCTATTATTAATAACAAACTGGAACTCTCAGACATATGAGAATAGATCATCAAATACTATTTTTAGATATTGCACAAGAAAATTTAATGTTCAAAACAGTCTACCTTTTGGAAGATGAACACATTATTGTGGAAAAATTTTGTTAGCATGTTTTTCTTGCTACTTGGCATAAGATTCATTGACATTTGTATTTAACAAACAGTTAAAATGTGACTAATACGTGTCAGCAACTACTTCACAGATTAACAAATTTTAATTCATAAAACTGTGCTATCAAGTAGATGTTACTATCCTCTATTACAGATGATTAAGCTTATCTTACACATTTATTAAACCTAAGTCAACTGATCAGTTGGGAGAATATCTGCATTCACCCATTGATGAAATTACAGCCTGGAGTAAGTGTTCAACAACAGTGGGTTCCTCAATAATTCATCACGGTTTGTCTTCCTACACAACAAGGAAGCACCTTAATTCAAAGAAAATTAAAATGATGCTTGATTTTTCCATATGATAGTATATGACAAGGTTTAAAAGTATATGTTTCATCATATTTCCTGGACTCATACCCCAATTCGGTCACTCCCTAGTTATCTGAACCTATATATATTGTTTAGCTCTACCTCAATTTCCTCATCTGTAATAGAGGATAGTAACATCTACTTGATAGCACAGTTTTTAAAGGTGAAATATATGATTAGATTATTGTAACTGGTTCAATTGAGGGAAAAAGTTCTACATAATACACTATTCACTGCCTCATTTGATTATGATTTGGTCCTATTTGAGGATATTTTAAGCTCTGATCTCTCAGGAGAGTCAAAGTAAATAGTTGACGTCAGGCTGACAAAGTGAAGCGGTGCTTTTGTTATGTTGCTTGTCAATGCTAGTGAATGCAGGGAAGGTAATGTGGTGTGTTGTGTAAGAACAGAGCCATACTACTTTTATCTGCTCTGCTTTGTCAAGAGCCTTAATAGCATATGTGCTTTTGGTCGCCTAATTTCCAAAGGGTCAGTGGAGAGAGTTGAGGACCCACAGAAGGGTGACAGACTCGATTTAAGTTACCCATCATCGATCCTTGAAGTTGGTACTGGAAAGTTTGTCTCTGGTTCACTTTCACTGAGAGGGGGTGGATCTTTACTTACTTGGTCTGATTATTTGGGAAGAGGAGATGAAAAATCAAACAATCTTGTTTAACTTAACAATAGCATCTAATATGACTTAGTAAAATTATTCTTTCTGTTTTAATGATTTAGTTACTGGTGACTTTATATATAAATATTGCTGTTTTTATATATCAAGTATGATTTTTTAAAGATTAACTTATTTTATCTGAAAGATTTGCAGAAAAAGAGAGAGATAGATTGAGAGAGATCTTTCATCTGCCGGTTGACTCCCCAAGTGGCCATAATGGCTAGAGCTGAGCCATTAAGAAACCAGGACTCAGGAGTTTGCTCCGGGTCTTCCACATGAATGCAGAGGACCAAGGACTTGAGTCGTTCTCCACTGCTTTCCTAGGCCACAACGAGGGAGATGGATAAAAAGCAGTGCAGGTGGAATATGAATTGACATCCATATGGGATCCCAGTGTTTGCAAGGGAGAACTAGGCAATTGAGCCATCTTGCTTTATTTGTAAAGCAGAATGGCAGAGGGAGAGGGAAGAAGAGAGAGAGATCTTCCACTGGCTAGTTCACTCCACAAATGACACAACCAACGTTCCTGGGCCAGAAGTCCATCTTTGTCTCCCACATGAATTCAGGGGCTCAAGTACCTAGACCATTCTTCTACTGCCTTGCTGGTCATATTAACAGGGATTTGAAGGGAAAGTGGAGTAGGAAGGGCTTTTAATGTTAACTTCAAGGTGGGATGTTGGCATTGCAGGTGGTGGCTTAACTTTATGTACAACAGCAGCCCCCAAGCTTATTATTTTTTTTAATGTGTAAAGCTATTATAATGATTTCCATACATAGAAATGTAGAAACATTTGATTCCATAGGGGAAACACAGACTTTTTTTTTAAGGTTTATTTGTTTTTATTGGAAAGTCAGGTATACAGAGAGGAGGAGAGAGAGAGAAGATCTTCCGTCTAATGGTTCATTCCCTAAGTGTCCGCAAAGGCTGTTGCTGAGCCAATTCCAAGCCAGGAGCTTCTTCTGGGTCTCCCATGCAGGTGCAGAGTCCCAAAGCTTTGGGCCATTCTTGACTGCTTTCCCAGGCCACAGGTGGGAAGTTGGATGGCAGCGAGGCCGCTGGGATTAGAATCAGCGCCCATATGGGATCCTGGTGCGTTCAAGGTGAGGACTTTAACTGCTACACTTTCACGCTGGGCCTGAAAATACAGACTTTTCTAGCACCAAGAAGGACTCTGAGTAATGAATAGACAATATCTTCAATTATGAAAAACAACAATGCAGTCATAGATTACACATGCTTGAAAAAATCCTGTTAGAAATTAGGAAAAAGTATTAAATGTGATTCAGTGGAGGTGATTTAAAAGACATTATGTTGTAGATCCCCAGTGTGCACGATACTGCTGACAACCTTAACCAAGGATTGAGTGTGTAAGGCTTTGGACCTGTCTTCCCTGAACACTTCTTCTCTCAGTAGGTGTTTGGAAGGAAACTAGAGAACCTGCAGTGAATTGTTGGCAGAGCGCCCGCCCATGTGTTTGGGAACCGAGCCCACCAAGTAGCTGTTAGATAGCAGGTAGTTATCCCATTGTGAAAACTGAGTTGCTCTAACAAGTGCTGTTGCTACACAGCTATAACTGGATAAAGTTAGGCTTGAGCCAAGGGTCCTATGTATTTTGGAATGTCAAACTGATGTTTTAACTGTTGCTAATATTATAGTATCCCTGTGGTAATATCCCAGGAATAATTTCAATTAAATAAAAAATTAAGCTGTAAGATTTTAGTTCATGTAAAGCTCAGGCTGAATCCACATGTGTGGCATGGCAACCAAAGTAGTGATAATAATTGTGGACTGCAGGAATCTGTGTGGTACCTA